ACCCTCTAAGACTGTCAGGGGGTAATTTATTTTTTTAATAGGGGATGACTTAAATTGTCTTAGAACTTGCTGCCCTGTGCATAGGGGGATGGACACTGCAAATGATACATTATAAATGAATAAAATGTTCACACAGCCTCTGGAATCTCTGTATCTCAAAGAAACCATCTTAATCCTATAAATAAATGAGCATGTATTTATTAAATGACTTAGGGTTTATACAGACTCATGATTAGGGGCTTAACTTCCCCTTCCTGGCTTCCACACCTTGAACTAGAGTACGTACAAAGGTACTTTGCCCCAGCAGTGCTATATCCCTCTGGTGGATCCTCATCCTATTCATCCTTGTCCCTAGCCCCAAGCCTAGGGACAGGAGCAGGAAAGACTACTGAGGACAAGAACCTACAGGTATTGAGTTCACAGTCATTCATGGATTCTCACCACCACCCTTTTATGGAGGTCCCAAGGGTTTGGGTGTTCAGTTCAATGGAGAGAATGAACAAAACCGAGGGAAGAAGCACAGAGAAGAGCATTCTCTTGGCTGCAGATGGAGAAATCCTTGGTTCAGGTTTCAAGGAGCAGGCTCAGAGGGCTGGGATTTTAAACTCAAACCAGGTGGATTTTGCAATTTAAATACACGTTGGGGGAGGGGTGCGAAGCTCTAGATAAGTTTCTTTCCGGTGCACCAAAGTTCGATAGTCAATTGTGTGATTCATGGAAGCTTTCCCGAGGACTCCATTTTTGCCCTGAACTATGATGCAGCAGGACAGCAAAGTTAAATTGGAGTTTACTGATTTCACCCTTACAACGACTTGGTGCCCAAGAGCTGTGGTTTCCCCCATGCAACCAAAGGGACTCAGGGTCTCTGCTGGCCGGCGGGAACACGCGCTTGATCAGCCCGGTCCTTCGGGGCCCTCCCCCACCCTGCGGTTCGCCCTGGGGGTGGGTGGGCAAAGCCTGTAGGGAAACTGGCGAACACGCAGGGAAATGGTGCTCAGAGAACCGTAAGACCAATCGTCGTCTCCCGGGAGAACTTCGGTAAGACTCGGATTCCGGGGCACCCCCCACCCCCCTTGCAACTCTGGGAACGAAAGAAACGCGGCCCACGAGGTCAGCAAGCCGCCACTTGAGAGCGTGACAAAGTAGAGCCGCTAGGGGTGGGGCTGACCTCCCTGGGGGCGGGGCGGGGCCCCGGCGGCGAGCGTGGGTCAGTACGTCGGAGGTCCGGACCCAGAGACGCGGGCGTGAAGCCGTGGCTAAGCTGAGGTGACGCGAGGCTGCTGAGACAGACGTCAAGCGACGTGGGCAGACGGTCGAGGTGAGGCAGGGCGGGCAAAGAAGCTGTGATGACGAGCCATGGGGCAACGGACTCCGGGCTCGCCTGGGAGAGGCGAGGCCGTACCGGCAGCGAGTTCGGGGGCCACCTGCTCCTCTGTTGTTAACGCAGGCGTCCTGGAGAACTGCCGTCCCTCCCTGCGGTGTCCCTCGCGGAAACCCCCTCAGGAAGGTGACGGCACTCAGCTCTGGCCTCCGGGGGTCTCCAGGTCCGGCCTTAGGCGGGGGTCTGGCATGTGGGGCGCAGAGAGGGTACACAGGACAGGAAAGAGACCGAATGTCTGCACGAGGGCCAGCCTCCTCGCTGCCCTGGTTGCCATCTTCGAGGTTAGCCGGTGCTCGCAAGAATGATGAGAAGGGAAAGAGTTTGAGGACAAGACCGTGAGGACGGACTCCCCAAGATGAAGGACCTACCTTTGACCACAAAACCGGGGAAAAAGAAAAAACAAACTCACTGCCATCGAGTCGATTCTGACTCAGCGATCCCCTTCGGGTTTCGAGATGGTAGATCTTTAAGAAAGTAGATCGCCCAGCCTGCCATCCGCGGAGGGCTGGTGGATTTGAACCGCTACCCTTCTGGTTAGCAGTTAAATGCCTTAGGCACTAGACTACCAGAACTCCTTAAGTGGCCACAGAGACCTCATTTTGCATTTCTTGTCAGAACCGAAGACAAAGTCCTTATAGAAATGTGTTTTCTTGTATTCATTCAGTCAACAAATATTTATGGAGCACCTTCTAATTCAATGCTTTGCACGATGCTAAACATTAGGGTTCAGTAGTGAACAAAAGCAGGCATAATCTTTGCCCTGATAGAACTTGGGGAAAACTTAGATGGTTACATAGAACGACAGTTGGTCCTCTGAAGAAGTAGAATACTGTGATTATCTTGTGGGTATCTTGAGAATGCAGTGCTGTGAATAAAGGAATAAAATCTAGTATTTGAGATAAACCAACTTTCCCTAAGGTTTTGTAATTTACAGGTTGAGAAGCAGTGTTGGAGAATGTGTGGGCGAACATCCTGCCACTTACCCAGAGATGTCCTCACAAAAGCCTGTGCTTATCGTGACAGGCAGGGCCAGCAGCAACTTCCAGAGTGGAGGGACCCTGACAAGTACTGCCCCTCTTACAACAAAAGCCCTCAGTCAAATAGCCCAGTGCTTCTGTCTAGGCTGCACTTTGAAAAGGTAAACAAACCACTTGGACTTTTGGCTCAGCATTGTGGTGGTCATCTATTCCTATTTAGTTTGGTGTGTGTTCAGACTCTGGGATGACATTAATCATCAGCTCATACATTCTGGCTTCTAGTTGAGAACTTCTCTGGGCCTCACTGAAAGTTTTGTCACTGTCCTACAAACTTAGAGAGAAATCTTTAGGCTCAGTATAAGTGCCCCCCCCCCCAAGGCTTTACTACATGACAAATTTACATGGACCTTGTATTTGAATGTATATATTAAGACAACAGCTTTCAATTCTCACTGATAATTAGGTCATTTGAGTATCTTTTTGTAAAAAAAAAAAAAAAAATTGTCAAGCCTCTTACCAGGCCAACTAAACCAGAATCTCCAGGGCTGGGGCAGGATTAATTTAAAACCAGCTAATCTAAAACATCTCAGATTATCTCGAACATTGAAACGTTTCTCTTGTGTTTTCAGTCTTTTCATGTTTGTCTCTTACTGAAGCCAGAAACAGATATATCTAATTTGGTTATCAGAAGTTTAATGGCATTGAGTATGCTTATACTAGACACTATAGTGTTGGAGAGACCAATAATTTACAGTCATGTTTTAGTTCTTTGTTTTTTCTCCTGAATGTGTTTTGTGTGTGTGTGTGTCTAGTGTTAGTAAAGATACTTCAGTCTAGAAGTTAATAATTTTTCCATGTCTTGATTGTTGTAAATGCCCTTGATATATTTTTTTAAATCATGATTATTTCTCTCCTAGATTTTGATTCTGTTTGGTCCCTAATGCTGAAATCATTTTATAAAATTGATTGTATTTCTTCAGAACTCTTATCATAATATGATGGTCAAAAATAACTTATTTCTACATTAGAGGGCTCACATTAATTCTGAAATAAACATACCAAATCACATTGATCTCTTTAGTTGAATGAAGCCATTTACATGAAATTATCTTGAGTCATTTTTAGAGGATGCATACTTCCCTATTGAAACAAAAAATAAATGAGAAGCAAATCAAGGTAAAATAAATAATCATGGAGAACTTTGAAGTGGAAAGGGAAAAATAAAACATGTTTCAGAAGAAGGCATAATTTATAGTGAAGAGAGAGAGAGAAAGACTAAGTGTATGAGCCTTATTCTTTTTTAGCTTTGGTTCTCTTTAGAATCATAGAATGACTGTTAGCTGGAAGAAAAAAATTGTTTACAAAATGTAAAGACAAGTATAGAAAAATTATGACTTGTCCTAGGTTACCAATCAATGCGGGACAAAATTGGGGCTTATATCTAGACAACTGTGCCCACTCCAGTGAATGCTTCCTGGAAGTAGGAATGGGGAAGGTAGAGTCCCTAGCAAACACAGCTTTCCTTTTGGATCAGTATATACATTTGTTGATGTAGTGTTTTAAGTTTTTTAAGGTTGCTAGGGGTTCTTAATTTTGATAAATATTTGAGGTTTCATTTTTCCCAAACCTATAAATTATACAGCAAAATTAGAACCATTTCAGCAGTTCATTTATCCAAATCATAACGGCCATCACATGTGTACAGATTTCATTTGCATTTGAAACCACTGGTTTACAAATTATTTCCTCTTTCATTTTTCTACTCTACCAGCTGTCTTTTCAGAAGTCCAAAATGGTGGAGGAAAAAATGACTAATACTAGGATACCGAGCAGTATTTCCGTATTTTGGCTTCTCAGCACTTTCTATTATTGTCCCCGATAGAGGGCAGCCTTACATTTAGGTTTGGTTTGTAGCTGTCCAGTGAACACATTGAGGTGTTGGAACTGAAGGTGAACAATAGAATTTGTGAGAGTAGGATCTCTCAAGGAGCTCTGGTGGTATAGTGCCTAAGGCATTTGACGCTAACCAGAAGGCTGGTGGTTCAAACCCACCAGCCAGTCCTCGCAAGGACGGTTGGGCATTCTACTTCCGTAGTGATGCTGCCTCAGAAACTCAAGGAGGGGTCGCTATGAGTTGGATCCAACTCGATGGCAGCGAGTTGAGTTTTGAATTGAGGATATCTCAATTTCCACACTGTGGATATTTGGGGCAGAATAATAGTTTGTTGTGAAGAACTGTTCTGTGCTTTGTACGTTGTTGGGCAGGTTTTCTGGCTTTTATCCAGTAGATGCCAGTAGCACCTCTCTGTAGGTCCTGACAACTGAAAATGTCTACTGGCATTGTTATGTCCTGGGGGTGGATGTGTGTGTTGAAAAATTGCCCACTGTGGAGAACCACAAGTTCTTGAAAATTTCTGATGAGAGGTGATTGTAGTTGGCTGTTATATGATGATATCTCTTTTATGCTTTTTTTTTTTTTGGTGGGGGGGGCTCTGCTTGAAAGGCACATTGATTGTAAAGAGAGAGGATTTACAAAAGCTTTATTTTCACCCATTTCCTCTCTTCCTCTTATCCCTGATGAGGTTCACACTTCCATTTATTTTCTCTCCTTTCCAATTCTTCCAAGGTCACCTTTTACTTAGATTTCTTGCACTCTCATTGGTTTCATTCTTCATGCCTCTGGGCATACAATATACCTAGATGCCTCTATCTTTAAGGGGAAAGTATATATGTGTATATATGTATATATATCTGTGTGTGTCTGTATATATTTATGTATACATATATGTGTGTATAAAGGAACTCTGGTGCCACAGTGCCTAAGGCATTTGACTGCTAACCAGAAGTTGGTGGGTCAAACATACCAGCTGCTCTGCAGAAGGAAAATAGGGCAATTTACTTCCGTAAAGATTTACCATCTTGGAATTCCATTGGGGGTCACTGTGAGTCAGAATTGCCTTGACAGCAGTGGGTTTATATGTGTGTGTATACATAATATGTATAGGTATAGCTATGTATATGAAAAGGCAAGATACGGAGGAAGCAGGGCAGGATCATACCAGGCAAGCTTAGCTTTAATCAGAGAAATCCATCTGAGACAGTACCACTACTGATGATTTCTTTCTTGGAATTCTTCCTCTGATGACTTTCCTGATTCTTTTATCTCTTTGGGTAGTTTCTCATTTTTGTCTGTTCTCCTTTAATTGTACTCCAAAGTTAAATCCTGTGCTTGATTAGCCAGTGGCTCTTTAGGAAACCTCATATATCTTCATGCTTTAACAGTCACCTTTGTATAAAAAATTTTACTATTTGTTTTTCATCCTACTTTAGAAAAATATTAAAGTACAGTTTAAGTGCCTGCTCTGCTACATTATCTTTTATTCTTAAAGATCATCCTCAAAGAAGATTGTTCACTATTTTTACAATTAAACCCTCTGCCATTAAGTCAGTTCCAACTCATAGCAACCCTGTAGGATGAAGTAGAATGGCCCATAGAGTTTTGTGAAAAGGATGTGGGGGTGGCATTTGACCTCCTCTGATTTCACTAGGGGGAAACCAAAAAAACCAAACTCACTGCCATCGAGTTGATTCTGATTCATAGTGACCTGTTTTGGGTTTCTGAGAAGGTAAATCTTTATACAAATAGATTACTCAGTCTTCCTGCCGTGGAGTGGCTGGCTGGTGGATTTGAACCGCCACCTTCTGGTTAGCTGTCAGATGCTTTAGACACTACACCACCAGAGCTCCTTTCATAAGGGGAAAGGAGAATCCAAAATAACAGTTCATGGCTAATTACTATGAGGCAGAAATCAGACATGCCACCACTCCACCCTTTTTACCAATTCTCACACCACACTCCCTCCCAATAGCACTGTCTATTTCTGGGTTTGATAGTTTGCTGCAGTGGCCACACAGAAGACCCAAACAATACTCATGATTATGTATAAGGTTTATTAGGGAAATAACTGGTTACAATTCAGGGTCAGAAACAACTCAGGATACAGTTCTTCAATCAGAACAGCTGCTTCTCAGCTGTGCTGCAAGCACATTTCTCTCTGGCCTTGATAGATGCTCAGAGAGGCACCCCACTCTGCCAGCAAGCCTTCTGCCCAAAGGCCCCAGCATTCTTCCTTCTGTGGAGTGGGAAGTACACTGCTCTGTCTCATGCCAGTCTCTTAGTTCTGCTGGTTTTCTGCTGCTGCTTCTTGCCATCTCAGCATAGAAATTTCAGGTCCAAGGACTTGCTCCACTCCTGGCTCTTCTTTCTTGATGGTAGTGTGTTCTGATTACTTAATGCCACTCTGACAAGAGCATACCACAAATGGGATGGCCTTAACAAACAGGAGTTTATTCTCTTACAATTTGGAGGCTTTAAGTCCAAGTTCAAAGTGCCAGGCTCTAGGGGCTGGGTGAAAGCCCCTCAACCTTGGGCTCCAGCTCTGCCTCCTGTTCCCAGCTCACTGAAGCTAGAGGCTTTTCTTCACTCAGCTGCTGGCTGCTGAGGCTGACGAGCCCAAGGTTGACAAGTAAAAAGGCACAGTCCCAATGTTACCAAACTGCACAGCAGGCCGTTAATTCAAGTCCATTGAAAGTCCCAAGGTCAGCAGAGCATGCAGGCTGCTGAACAACGACAGGGTTCAAGCATGCCATAAGCTAGAGACTATTCCCCAAGGCTTCTGCTTATATACAGGAAGCAGGCCACATCCCTAAGGCAGCTACTCAGCTGCTCACAGTAGATTTCACCATGGAGTTGAGTACCAGTCTCATATGGGTAATACTACATCCATTTGCCCAGCCACTCAACCAGGCCTAGCCAAGTTGACACACAAACTTAACTACTACATAGTGAGATCCCCCTTTCTGCCTCTGGAATGGGTCATTTTAAGCTTAGCAAGATGGCAAAACTGACCAATCCCCACACTAGGGTTCCATACACCTTATTTGCACTATCCCACTGCTATAAGGTTGCCATCGTCCTTATTTACATTATTAGCAAACTATGTAATCCCCTTGGTGGGCCACAAGCACTTCATATTTGCACAGTCCCACACAGTCATATGGTAGAAGTCACAAAGACCATGGGTAAAAGCGCCATATTAAATCATTCACTGCACCACAGGGTTTCTAGGCTGTAAATCTTTCTGGAAGCAGACTGCCACATCTTTCTCCTGTGGAGCAGCTGGTAGGTTTGAACCTCCAGCCTTTCTGTTTGTACCTGAGTACTTTAACCACTATGCTACCAGGGCTACATTTTTACAATGAAGGGTCCAGAAAGTTGAGACTAGTCCATATGTTGCAGAGAAAGAATTTTTGAACCAGGGTCTCCTTGGAAAACTATTTTTCTTTATACCAGGGAATGGCACACTATGGTCCTCAAACCAAATCTGGCCCACTGCCTATTTTTGTAAACAAAGTCTTGTTGGAACACAGCTGTGCTCATTTTTTTATGTATGTCTTTGGCTGCTTTCATGCTACCATCGGCAGAGTTGAGTTGCTTGATTAAGATTGTTTGGGCTGTTAAAGCTAAAAATATTTACTGTTGGGTCCTTTACAGAAAGTTGTTGTCCCCTTCTCTATACTTGCTTAGTTTTAATTCCACATCTCTGAGTGGAAGTTCTACTTTGATTTTATTCTAGTGGCTTAAAATATATATATA